ATACAAATCAAAGACACATGGAAAGAATTAATCCAATGGACTAAAGTCTCCATAACCGTTAGACGGAACTAAAGGGTACCCACCTATCCCTACCAATTAGTTGGCAAGGGATCACATTAGAAGGCCTTAGATAAAATGAGAGAAACATGTGGAACAAAACTTAAATCACAAAAGTCCTGTTGTGCTTTTACCGAAAGCAAACTGATGTTCTGCTCTGTAAACCTTGCCTCAATTCATGATAAGTTTTTTTTTCAGACTTTTTAAAAGTCCCTTCCTACAAGTTTCCTTAAGCTAGAAAAGAGTGAAACACTGAAAACATTTTCCAAATTCAAGTCCTATATTCTTTACATGCATACGACTTGAATTTGGAAAATATTTTTGGGATTTCACACTTTTGAGACCTGGTATGATGCTGCAGGATAATGCACTGGACCACAGATTCACTGTGAGTCAGAACAAAGTCAACAGCACTTAATAAGAACTCCTTACATGGAGTCCTGGTGCGTCCAAACCCACCAGCCGCTCCTCATAAACCCTACCAATGTTGTTGTTAAGTGCCATCAACATTTTAGTTCAAGCTGACCTTACGGTCCAGTGCTTTATCCTATAGCACTACATCAGCACTCCAGGAAAACCCATACAGGGTTGCTAAGAGTTGAAACCAATTTGAGGGCACTTAAATGCGCCAGACTGCAACACCATTTGAACTGCAAGGTTGGAAGTTCAAGCTCACCAGTCGCTCCTTGGAACCCCTACACAGGGTCGCTATGGGTCAGAACAGACTCGACGGCACCTATCAGCAACAATTCTTTACATGAAAAGTACAACAGGAATCAGATGTATCCAACATTATCCATCATTCTATAAAGTGGAATGATTTATAATTCCCATATATTTGCAAAAAAAAAAAAAAGAAGCACAAATAGTAAAAATTGTTTCTGATGCTTAATTCTCCAAAGTCCACATTATAGCCCTATTAAGAGTTTTTGCATAGAATAGCAGATTCTATTTTCAGTCAAAATAGATGCAAAATAATTACACAAAGAGACACTGGTGAGGATGTGGAGAAACTGGATCACTCATACATTGTTAATGGGAATGTAAGTGCAGCAGTCACTCTGGAGACCAGCTTGGCAGTTTTTTAAAAAATCTAAGCACACACTTATCATGAAGACTAGCCATTGTACTCTTCAGAATATCTCATATAAACCTATAATAATTGTTAATATCAGGTAGATGTAAATGATTGTACATAGCAGAAATATCTTTAATTGTCAAAACCTGAAACAATCAAAATATCCTATAATAGTTGACTGGTGTCACCTGTATAAAACTGTGCTACACCTATACTAGGGAATACTATTCAGCAATAAAAAGGACCAAATTATTGATACACAAAAAACCTGGATAGATTTCATAGGCATTATGCTTATTCTCAAAGGAAATACACTGTATGATTCCATCCATATAACATGCTGGAAATGACAAAAATACAGCTATAAAAAATAAATTAATGCTTACCATGTGAGAGGAGATAAGAGTAAGGGAATAGGTCAGATACACCAGGGAGATCTTTGTGGTGATTGAAGAACTCTTTAATTTGAATGCAAAGGCAGTTATAAAAAGCTACATGTGTGATAAAATGCCATAAAACCATATGTAAAATTGTACCAATAAAGTTTCTTGGATCTAATATTGTACTTTTGTTGAAGATGTAAGTATTGGTGGGAACTAGGTGAAGGGTATATGAAATATATCTGTTCTGTCTTTGCAAGTTACTGTGAAATCTATAAGTATCTATAAAAAAATAAATAAATAAACAAAAAAATGGTGCAAAGTCAAATATCTGATACTCCCACAGGAGAATATTCTACATTCTCTACATTTTCATTTTAATTGCACAAGAAGTAAGTAGAGTTGATAATTTCACAGGGCATCTTAGAAACAGAGAAAGTTAAAGCCACCACCCATAAAACCAAACTTTGTCTTCAGTTGGTATTGTTCCTCCATTTATCTTCAGTTCACCTTCTGGACTTTTAAGCCTCATATCTTGGGTTTACAGCTCAGCGATCTACATTACACTCCAAAATTATAGCCTCCATGTATGCTTTCCTTCATTTCCATGAAACTTTATATTCCCTCAGAAAAATGTCAACTGGTATTAGGTTATGTAATTTACATAATCCATAGAGTATATTAACTATGTAATAAGCAATGGGCTGCTAACCACAAACTCACCAGCAGCTTAGTTGGAGAAAGATTAGTCTGTCTGTTCCCATAAAGATTTATAGGCTCTGAAACCCTAATACAGAGTTGGAATCGATTAGATGGTAGTGGCTTGGTTTTTGGCTAAAAGGTCAATTTTTTAAAATTAATTCTTCAGCCCAAATTATACCAAAATATTAAAATTAGAATTCAAGAGATAATTCTTAGGGAAAACAAAAGGGCCAAATTCTCCTTGCATATCTGAGCCATGTCCTGCCCATTCCTCACTGCCTATCATCTGTTTCACAATATTCCAGGCCAGCTTTAACAATTTTACTTCATAAGACAAACATCTTCAGCTTACATAGACCTTTTATATAAGGGATCTCATTTGAAGATCATCAGATTCTGTAAACTATATACAATCATCTCCATTTTTGAGCCATCAAGGCAAGCAATCAAGTCCCTTCAGGACAAACCCCCCACCAAGACTGAAACTCAAAGGGAACACATGAGCAGGCATATAAGCTTGATGGCAACCACACTGGTCTATTAGTGAGTGGAAGAGGGGGAAAGGCAGCAATGAAAACAATGGGCTGAGTTCAACCATGTTCCACAGACCTGGAGATAAGAGAGAAAAGAAGAAGGGCTGGTTGGTCCAAAGCGTGGTGAGACCTGGGGACTTCTGAGCCCATGGACAAGGACATAGCCACAGAGGGCTACAGCTGACAGTGAAGCATCCGGCTGATATGAATTGAGGGGAGATGCACAAGAATGCCCACACTTGCAGACAGTACCCATTTGACCTAGCCTCAATGGCCTGATAATCAGAACTCGACAAGAGGAAGATTAAAAAAAAAAAAAAAAAAACAATTTTTGATATAGGAAACAAGTGTAAATTGCTATAATTTGATTCACTTGACCTATATTTATGGATGTAGTAGCTCAAAATACCAACTGAGAAGGAAGGAGTCTTCATATCAAGTATCAATCCTATTCCCTCTATATACAGGATAGATAGGGACAGGTAACTTAGACATTGGCTACCTAAATTGAGGGGGTGATAAAGGCACAAAGTGACTTGCTTACAAGTTTTCAAGAGAGAGTTTAGTTTGAGAGTGTGCGGGGAAAGGTAGAGTCGCAATTAGTCATGATAACAGTTACTCACTATTGAACCATAAGAATCTTATCCCTATCTCTTTTCACCAGACCTGTCTAGATAAGATGCGACACCAGAGTTGGAGGCAGAGATGGGGACATGGAGAGAGGGAGCAACTGAAGACTCTGTACACATGGAAAGAGAGGGACTGGGTGCTGGCAGCCAGGAGGCAGGCTAGCAGAATGTGCCCTTTGGTTGTTTAAATTATTATATAATCCTGAGTGTTTCTATGTACATTCCCCTTGCCCCTCCGCCACAAAAAAAAAAAAAAGCACCCACAGGGAATAGAAGCAAATGCTGTTTGTTGAATGACGATGCACAGAGGAGATTGTAATCATTGCAATGAAACGATAGTGTAAAGCCAATGTTCTCCCATGTAAACTATCACTCAGTTCACAATAAAAATTTAAAAACATAAATAAATAACTATGCAGAGTAGACAGAGTGAAGATACTGAAATGGGAAAAAAAAAAAAAAAGCATTCCCATTTTAGAAAAGAGGAAACGTTAATTTAGTGAACTTCTCAAAGTAAGTCACATAGGTGAATATTAACCTACAGAACAGGGAGTGTAACTCAGAACTCCTGATCCCTAATCCTAAAACCTGTCAAAATATTTCATCAAACCAAACACCCCATTCACATTCTGGTTATAGACATTTCAGAACAATAAATTAATGCTACAAGAATAAAAGATAAAGAGCTAATCCAATTGAAATGTTCTGATCTAATTTAAAACAGAGGTTCTCAAGGTATGGTCCAATCCCCAAATCGGCCATATGTTTAGGGATTGTAAGCAGAGCTTCTAAAATAGAAAGTCAATATGCACTTGTATCTGGGGAAAAAATCAGCTAGCACAGCAATAAATAAAAATGAATGGAAACTGTTTACTTAGCTATCCTTCCTGTGCTATACAATTCACCAATCACAGTTTGTGAAGGCAGAGTAGAATCAAGTAGTGATGACCAAGCCTGAATTCAAAATACTCAAACTGGACTCCTATCTCTCCAACATCTTGGCCACAAGGAAGAGTACCAAAACAAGATGAAGCCCAAGAAGCCTCAAGGAGTATTACATGAAATGCTAATCTTCAATCTCCTGAATCTCTTTCTAATCTATTCCAGGGGGAATATAGCTGAGACTTGTCAACCCTTGATGAAAGTGTAAGGTTAAAAATCCAAAAAACAAAAACCTGGAGAGGCTCAAAAATTGATTTCAGGAAAGAAAGCACTTTTGATGGCAGCCTAGACAAATGCAGAGTAGATAACCCAGGGCATAAACCTCGTGGAACAATCCTAGAACCAAAAGTTTGAGAACACACAAATATACAAACTAGCAAACAGCAAATGACTGTTACTGGGAAAAGTAGAAGGGCAAATAAGATAAAACTCATGATCTTAAAGCTGCTAAACATTACAACAACATTGATTATTAACAGCCAGCTTGGTGAGGCTGTCTGCTCCTGTAAAGATTCAAACTCAAAAACCTTCAGGAGCAATTGTACTCCTTCCTAGAAGATCACCAGGAGTCCAACCGAATGGATCAAACAAAGGAGTTCCTAGCTCCATTCGGCCCCCTTTCTAGAAGGATTAGGTTGTTACAGAATAAATAAAAAGGAAGCTTTCATAGAAGTCTTACCAACACGGTATCTTAGTTCTATGATTGTTTCGCCTTCTCTGGCTAATGCTGTTATTTCACAAGTGTAGTTCCCAAGGACGGCTTCACTCTTCTTTATCCTCAAAGTGGCATGTCCATTCAGTAATTCTGAAGGTGTGATTTCTGCACTACTAAAATTACTGTTGACTACACGAGACTCATCACGAGCTCCATTATACAGAAAAAATTCTTTCCCTTTAAATTTCCACTTTACAAACAGTTCTTTAAGGCTCTCCGCATACACATGATTAGCAATGCATGGGAGAACAACAGTCTCATTGCAGACGGTGACTTCTACAAATTTGGTTGCATTAAATGTTATTTGAGCTGAACCTGAAAAAGAAAAAGAAAAATGCTTTATGTAACTTTCAGAATTTTATATGAACTCAGATATGCTATACATCCTTAAGATAATGAGCAATGCTTCCATTGTTCACTTAAATTAGCAGCAATACAGAAAAAAAGACCAGGAAGGTGAAACACAGAAACAAATTTTAATATCAATACTGGAAGACAAAACTGTAACCTTTGTTTACTCAGCCTCAGTAACAAAGTATATATTACTGTGCATTTTGGTAATAACTTCAGCAACTGTGCTGGAAAACACAGGTGCACTGTCTGACTTGGGAAGCTTTGAAATAATCATTATTGCCTACAGGGTAAAAAGTATTAACCTTACCATGGGAAACTTTTTTTTTTTAACCATAGGAAACTTTTGAACAGAAAATAAACCAACATATTATATTCAGTCTCAACATCTATACGCCTCCTTTAAATAGAAGTTTCTAATGTTGCAATGGAGTCTATTCCTATGTTAGATTTCAAAAGAAAAACAACAACAACAACAAAAAAAACTGGTAAATTCTCCAGTACTTTAATATACAAAATAAATCAGATGAATTGCATTACATCTTTCCAGTTTGTCTTAGATTGTTGACTAGAAAAATCAAACTCCGTGGCTGTCTCCCCATTGTAAAACAACAGACATTTTGCATACAAGTGCTATAAAGGGTATAAAGTTACCTACACAGATAAAACAGTTAATACAACAATGCTGTATCAATGGTCCTTTAATGCCTGAAGAATATGGAGAAAACTACAATGTCTCCACATCCTTGCCCATTTTAAATGAATAATGACTAACTACATTGAATTTCCAAAGCCCTATTTTATAACAGGCAACAACTGGTAGTTTATTCTATTGAAAAGAATTGATAGCATATAACCTACTTACTGGAGTCCTGGTGTGGTGCTATAGAATAAGCACTGGTTTGCGAACCACAAGTTCAGCAGTTCAAAGCTACCAGCTGCTCCTCGGAAATCCTATACAGGGCCACTATGAGTCAGAACTGACTTGAGGACACCTAAAAACCACACCCTACATATTAGCAGAACCTAAACTTGCTTTCAACTTGTTTCTTAGCATTATTTTGAGTGGCTTATAGTTTTTTTGAAGAAGGAATATCTATGTATTCAGAAATCACTGCTCTGTATTTTCAAAGACATGTGAGAGTGGTTTTTCCTTCAAGAGAGAAAGCACCAACATATATGAATAAGAAAATCAATTTTATTAGTAATTCATTCTTTAATATTTCTACCTTTTCAGATAAACTGAGAAAAAGTAAGGGCATGTTACTGTTGCTATTGAGTCAGCTCCAACTCATGGTGACCCTGTATAGGGTTTCTGAAGTGTGGCAGCTGGGTTTGTACCACCAACCTTGTGGTTAGTAGTTTAGTGTTTGTCCTGTAGTGATACACTAGAACTGTTATTACACTAAGTACAGAATTGATAGTCAATAAATGCCCACTGATTTGAGTGCGAAGATGAATAGTAGAATGTGGACAACATACAGAAAGCCTGAATCCAAATCACGCGTTTGCCAGTTTTTTTGGTAAGCAACTTTAAGTAATTCACAACTTTTCTTTGCTTTAGTTTACTCTCAAAAAGCCCTGGTGGTGCAGTGTGTTAAGCATTAGGCTGCTAACTAACGGCTGCTCAAACCCACCAACCACACCCAGCAGAAAGATGTGGCTCTCGGCTCCTATCTACAGTTTCAGAAACCCTAAGGAGCAGTTCTCCTCTGACCAGTAGTGTCACTGTGAGTTGGAATCAACTAGATGGCAATGGATGTTTGGTTTGGTAGATTAGTTTACTCTCTGTAAACCAGGTGATCAACAGGAATGTTGGGCCACAACACAGACACTAGAGTCCAGATGTGGCGCTATAGGCAATGGCCTGCTAACCTCAAGGTCTGTGCTCCAAACCCACCAGCTGCTCCTCAGAAACACTATGGAGGGTTGCTATGAGTAAGAACCAACTCAGGATACTAAACAACAACACACAAACACTACATGGACTGAAAAAATAAACAAACAAATCTGACTTGGAAGAAACACAGCTAGAATGTTTCTTAGATGTGAGGACTTTGTCTCACATATTTTGGACATGTTATCAGAAGGCACCAGTCTGTGACAGAAGGATTCATCTTGTAGAGGATCAGCATAAAAGAAGACCTTTAACAGATGGATTGACTCAGTGGCTGCAACAATGGGCTCAAACATATTACTGATCGTGAGGATGGTGCAGGAATGGACAGTGTTTTGTTCTGTTGTGCATGGGGGAGGGTCACTATGAGTTGGGGCTAACTGGATGACATCTAACTACAAAGAATTATGGTGAGCATCAAAGGAGAAAATATATGTTCAAGGGCTCTGTAAATAATCCTGTGTTATGAAAAGATACAGTGACATTGTAAGAACTAGACAGTAAGATAGTTTAATATAATGATCTGGATCCTTGCAGGAACTGTTACAACTCTGATCATTTGAACCCTGAACCAATATTGTGGGTGTCCAGAGCTCACTTCTTCCCAGTTCTCTGAATTTCTAGTCATCTAAATATTAGGAAGCCCCAAGTAAAACCTGCTTTCTCCAGAACCTTAGAGTTGTGAATTACTTGTAGTACTAAATTGTAGATTTGAGTTGTTGTTGTTGTTGTCAGGTGCCATCGAGTTGGAACTGACTCATAGTGACTCCATGCACAGCTGAATGAAACAATGTCTGATCCTGGGCCAACCTACTACCGCTGCCACACTTGACGCCATCAATGATGCCACCTGGCCAATCCATCTCATTAGGGGTGTTCCTCTTTTTCTCTGACCCTCCACCTTACCCAGCATGACATCCTTCTCCAGTGACTGTTTCCTCCGGACAATATGTCCAAAGTATGAGAGACGAAGCTTAGCCATCTTGGCCTCCAAAGAGCACTCTGGCTGCACTTCTTCCAAAACAGATCTATTGGTTCTTTTGGCAGTCCATGGCACTTTCAGTATTCTCCTCCAACACCACAACTCAAAGGCATCAATTCTTCTACGATCTTCCTTATTCACTGTCCAGCTTTCGCATCCATATGAGGTTACTGAAAATACCATGGCTTGGGTCAGGCGCACCTTAGTCCTCAAGCTGACATCTCTGCTCTTCAATACTTTAAAAAGTTCCTGTGCAGCAGATTTGCCCAATGCAATACGTCGTCTGATCTCTTGAATGCTGCTTCCACAAGTGTTGATAGTTGATCCAAGAAGAATGAAGTCCTTGACAACTTCAATCTTTTCTCCATTGATCAGAATGTTGTTTATTGGTCCAGTGGTGAGGCTTTTTGTTTTCTTGACATTGAGATGTAATCCATATCGAAGGCTGTGCTCTTTGATCTTCATAAGTAAATGTTTCAAGTCCTCTTCACTTTCAGCAAGCAAGGTTGTATCATCTGCATATCGCAGGTTGTTAATGAGTCTTCCTCCAATCTTGATGCCACGTTTTCCTTCATAGAACCTAGCTTGTCGTATTATTTGCTGAGCATACAGGTTGAATAAGTAGGGTGAAAGAATACAATCCTGTCTCACACCTTTCCCAATTTTAAGACATTCAGTGTTCCCATATTCTGTTCGAACAACTGCTTCTTGGTCTAGGTACAGATTTCTCAGAAGTACAATTAAGTGTTCTGGAATACTCATACTTCTTAATGTTGTCCATAGCTTATTATGATCCACACAATCGAAAGCCTTTGTGTAGTCAGTAAAGCATAGGTAAACATTCTCCTGGTATTCTCTGCTTTCAGCCAAGATCCATCGGACATCAGCAATGATATCTCACAGCCTCTTCTGAATCCAGCTTGAACCTCTGGAAGTTCTCTGTCAATGTATGATTGTAGCTGTTTCTGTATTACCTTTAGCAAAACTTTACTTGCTTGAGATATCAAAGAGATTGTTGGAATTTAGTAACAAATATAAAGGTATGTTTGGAGGTTCGGAGGGTTTATAGCTGGGGAATTTGCAGGAGAATCCAGAAATCCATTATTTTCTGGATCAGGACACTCAGCTGTTCCAGGAGCCGCCATCTTGGGAAAGCATATCTTCATTGATTGATATGATTAGGAGAGAACATCTTGAGTGTATCTTGATTATATCAGGATTGTATCAAGATTGACATTGAAATTTAAAGAGACAGTATAGACATAAAACCAAACGGCCACCACTGGTCTGTCTGTCGTGCTGTGGTGATTTGAGTTGCTGTGATTCTGAGGGCTATGCCACCGGTGTTTTAAATAACTAGCAGGGCCACCCATGGTGGACAGGTTTCAGATGAGTTACAAAACAAAGGCAGACTAGGAAGAAAGAGTGACAAACTACTTCCGAATCTCTAGTCACTGAAAACTCTATGAATAGGAGAGAAACATTGTCAGATACAGGACTGGAAGATGGGAAAGCACTCAGAATGTGACTGAGGAAAAAAATGCCTCCTCAAAGTAGAGTTGACCATGGTGACGTGAATAGAGTTAAGCTTGGGGGAGAAAAGCGCACAGAACCTGTATTTGCTGATGGGCAACAACTTAAAATGAAGAGAAACAGCTGTAAATGTTCATTGAAAATTGGAACATGGAATGTACGAAGTATGAATCTGGGAAAATTGGAAGTTGTCAAAAATGAAATGGAACGCATAAACATCGATGTCTTAGGCATTAGATTTGAGTAGGAATGATGTACTCTGGGAGAGAAGCCATGAGGTGGCAACACAGAATACAACTAGGAGAGAATAAAGGGATTCTGATTTTGGAATTACAAAGGAAGGAAAGTGGCAGAAAACGTGGTGAAAGATTTTTCCAACGGGCAAAAACATTACTGGATGTCCTTTCAATGGAATCCAAGGCCTCATCTAGTAGACCTGCTTGTCTGATTCTATAGGTGTCTGTGTTTTCCATTGTCTTTGACTAGATTGTTACAATTCTGTAAATTATAGGAAATTGAAGGTAATGCAAATGATATGTGCCCACAGAGAGGCAAATAAAATTTGTCCTGCAACTGACAGAAGCCCTGTGGAAGAGTTGATTCTCAAACATTAACATTTTGCTGTCCTGAAAATATTGACTGGTTTTGCATCTGTTAGCAAATTAGTTTCCACATTCCTGGTTGCCCAAAAATGTACCTGTTCTTGTAATTTTCTTTTGGAAGGGTTTTACTACATTATCACTCATTAAGAAATGAAATAAAATCTGTGACATGTGCTCATTTTATATTTAACTGAGGCATGATTTCTGCCTTTAAAATGATTATCTTTTATAAAACTGATACAAGTGAAGGGCTCGGTTATCCATCTGAACTTCAATTTTTAGAAGATTCAAGGTTAAAAGAAGTAGTCTGTAAACACCCCACAATTTTATAATTCACCGCTAGAGGAATGCAGGGAGCACTAATTGCACTGAGTTATTTGTTGCAATAATGAATTTTTTATAGCTGAAGCAATCTTAGTAAAATAAATGCTGTCAATAATATTCAGTAAAATTGACCTGAATAACTATAATTTGAATAATCTTTACACTAATAACTGATCAATAAAAGTGTCCAAAAATGTCACTTCAGCTGTTAACTCCAGCTTCCTTTATGAACAATTATAAGAACTATTAAGTAATTAGAATGATCTGATTTGAGTTTTCTTGTGTCTACCGCCTTCTGATGAAACAGGAAAGTGAAGCAAAGACAAAATACAGAGTAAATAAAGGAACATGGATAATTAACATAAGAAAAATCTGAACAATCAAGATATTCATTGTTATTATTGTTGTTAAGTGCCTTGGAGTTGGTTCCGACTCATGGCAACCCTGTACAGGGTCTCCAAGGACCTTGCAGTTCAAACCAACCTTGAGGTCAAGTGCTTATTCTATGCTGCCACACTGGGACTTTAAATCAGATAGGAATAGATAAATTTAATAAACAGTGATGTCAGAGTTACAGATAAATTAGCAAATGAGATGAAAAAAATTATTTTATATCAAATGCCAGAAATATTGTCCTTCAAAAGTTGGTGAGTAAAGACCAACCATAGTGCTTAAAACAGCTATGCAGTTGCATAAAAGGCTAAATACATTGCAGCCACAGAAGGCAGGTCCAATACAAAAAAAAAATGTGTAACATGCAACAATCATTTGCTGACGATTACTCCATATGCAACACTGTGATAGGATGTGGGGGTATAATGGAGAAATAAAACGCTGAAATGACTTTTTAGGAGCTTACAATTTGCACAGCAGGGAATGACATTTTTATAACACAGGGTTTTAAATGCAATCCTTCCTGTATGAACAAATAACTATGCCTGGGCAGAAGAGTAATTAGTCTTACAGATTTCTAAGTAAATTTGTGGAAGAACAACAGAAAATGAGTGTCAAAACCCCTGCCCTAACCAAGCCTTGAATCTTTCACCTTTTACATGGAACATGGTAAATACTATCTTTGTTTTAGTAACTCTCCAACCACTTTCCTTTTGTCTCTTAAATCATACTTCCCCAAAGAAGCCCTCATCTCCTACCTTTTAATTCAAAGTGAATCCTTCAGATAAGAAGCTAGCAGTCTCCTATACTCCCCACCTACAATCTTATCACAACCTCAACTATGCACATCTCTTAGCCTGTTATTTCCCTCTCTTCAGAAATGAACTCTTTCACCTGAAAGGGAATTTCCATTTCTGCCTCCCCACCCATCAATCTCCTCAGGGATTTTCCTTAGTTAATTATTGCTCCCACAGCCCCCTATGTGCAATCTTTCCATCTTCGAGGGGTTTTTTAGACCTCAGTTAAAAACAAAACAAACATATCTTTGAACTTTTCACTAGCTTAAAATTTTTTTTAAAAAACCCTAGCATCCTAAAAGAATAGTTTATGTTCATTTCATCATCTCCAGTTCACTCCTTAAAGCTCTGCTTCCAGGGCTCTACCCTTTCCACTCCTACTTTTTCACCAATAATAGCTTTTGCCAAAGTCACCAATAATCCCATGGAAAAATCCTATGTGTATTGTTCACTTCCTATCTTACTTGACGTCTCTGAAGTTCTTGAACGAGTGGACAGCTCCTTTCTTGCTCATGTTCCTTGGCCACTGTCTTGTCAACTGATAATGAATTTGCTCGTAGCACTTGTCTGCTCCATTCCAGCTTCCTCTCTTTATTGAAATCTATTTGTTGACTCCCACTAAATGTTACTGCTCCTAAGGGCTTCATAATCACATCACTCACCCCCCAGGTAGTATCTCTTACTCCCACCGTTTATCTACTCACTCATTTTTCTTTAATCAACCTCCACTTTATATAATCACAGAATTTTTTGAGTCAGTTGTCTGCTGCACATTTCTACTTCAATTCCTTAAGTTACTTCAAGCTAAACATGTCCAAAGCTCTATGCAGCCTCTCCTTACCCTCTTACCTAAACCCTCATCTCCCCAAATATTTTCTAATATCTAGTGTTGTTGTTGTGAAATGCTGTCAACTTGGTTTGCCTTGGCAATCCTGTATTATGTTTCCAAGGAGTGACTGGTGGGCTTGCACTGCTGACCTTGTGGTTAGCATTCCAGTGCTTATCCTACAGTGCCACACCAGGACACCAGCATTAAAGTGAAATGTGCAAAGACCTGGAGATAGAAAATCAAAAGAAAAGATCATGCTCTGTATTTCTCAAGCTGAAAGAACTGAAGAAAAAATTCAAGCCTCAACTTGCAAAATTAAAAGATTCCATGGGCAAAATACTGAATGATGCAGACAGCATCAAAAGAA